TCAATAATTGCCAATTTTTAAAAATAAAATTTCTTTTATTTCATTTTATTACTTTGTGTGTGTACCATCCAGTCGGATCTGACGGGTACAGGAGGAGATTGTCCCTCCTTTTCCAGCAGAGCATCTGGTGGATTCAAACTGCGTACCTCTGGGATTGTAGTGCAGCTTCTTGCCACTAGGCCACCAGAGCTCCCTTAATAATTGCCAATTAAAAAAAATATTTTATTAATTTTAATGAACATTTACAGAGATTTTTTATTTCCATTCATTCATTGCTGCACTTTTCTCCCTGCCCAGCCCTCCCCCCCAATAATTGCCAATTTTTAAAGGAAGTGAGTTAAAAAACTACTAGGAGAAGACAAAAATACTGTTTGACAGACATTGATGTCATATTCAGAGATCAATAATGACTAGAAAGCAGACAAGGGAAGAGGGTTTTAAAATATAGGAATTTTCCACACAGGAGAGAAACCGTATAAATGTCCTCTCTGTGAAAAGAGTTTCATTTGGAGGTCTAACTTTAATAGACACCAATGGGTCCACACAGGAGAGAAACCCTATAAAATATAGGAATTTGTAAACCTTTTTTGGTTACAGGAGAATTGTATCTTGCTCTATTTTCCTGCAGTGTGATACTGGATAAAAAGGAAGGCTGAGATAAACTTATTCTGGTCTTCATTTCACCTCTTGTCCACCCTCAACCCTGACCTCATCTTCAACGATTCCAGAGTGACTGTGGTTTAAGGAATGCCATTTAATTGGTACTTACTAGTTTTCTTTACATTGTCTCTGAAATGATCACAGGGACACTGGTTCTTTTGTGGCCAGGGCACTGTCGGTGTCATAAATTTTCCTTTAGGGGTTTTCAGGCGCCAATCTGAAATCACAAGGTTGCTGCTTAAAGGAGAGAGATAATCTGTTTGGGGTAGGGAACAGGGCATGGCAAGTAAAGCCATGTTCTCTCTCTCATTTTGCAATAGGGTGAGGAGAGGGGTCAACACAGAAGAATGCAGAAAGGCGGTTACTTTGGCACCAGGATTTCTGTGTTGTTTTGCCCTGACTTGTACAGGTGAGGATTTGGTGGCGGGTTTGGAGGATGTTGCTGGGAGACTAAAGAATGAGGTGCCTGCGTTGTAGCCTCAGGCAAGCCATTTTGCCACATGGCTGTAAGTCTTTTCTATATAAATAACATGCCTCTGGAAACTATGAACTTTGACAAATGTCAAAAGTTGTAGAGGGGCTTCAAGGTCGCTATGAGTTGTGCGCGACTTGAAGGCAATCAACAACAACAGCAACATATGTCAAATAAGATTGGAAAGAGGACTCAGGATACTTTTTGGGGGACCAGGTCCTTTAGGAAGGCAGCTCTGAGTCCTTGGGGAAAAGTTTAAGGGGGAGGGGACAGTCAGAGATCTAGCCAGCTCTCCCTGGACCTTGGAGGAGTCCATCTCTTGCCTGAGACTCAGGAAGAAGCCGGTTTGGTGCTGCCTGGGGAGGGCTGTGGAGAGGGGACTGAATGGAGTCAGCTCAGATAATATCTGCACTCGTTTCAGAGGGACTCAAGGGAGAGAACTGGGGTGACAGTGGTGTGATTGCCATTGTGATTGAGATACTAACCTTTACACTCGCATTCTTGGCTGCCTTCCTGGAGCCGCCACCTCCCAGAGGCCTGACGCTGGTCCCTGTGGCCTCTGGTGGCCCCTGTTGGAAGAAGATAGATCCTTTACAGGCGCTGGAAGGGAACAGCATAAATGGTCCTTCCGGAATGGGGGCCCTTAGGCCAGCACAATTTAATTGCTCAGAGACCTGGGTTACTCAAGAGAGGGACATTTTATTTTTAACATTTCCAATTTTTATTCTTAAAATTATGAAACGAAATTGCAACGGCAGATTTACAGAACCATTTCTGAACAATGATAGGAAAGTTCTCAAGAACATTCACTTACTTGGCTAGAAATTAAACTGTGGTTGCTCAACAGATTGCATTCATACTTGCATTTTCTCAATAAGTTTTCCCTTGTATTTATTTGCCTTTCTCTTTTCCACTTGCTGAGGTTCAGCTTTACGTTCAAAATTTTTTTCTGCTTTTTATCCAATTTCAGCCTGGTGAGGCCACCTTGCTTGAGTGAGTGCCCACGTGGGCAGTTGTCCATTAGCCTTGTCACAATGCACTTTCCTGTGGAGATGATGTGCTTCCTTCTGTACAGAAGGGACCTCCTTGACAACTTGCTGACCTTGGTGGTGTCCTCGAACAACCTGGACCTCGTCGTCCTTGCTGATGGCCATGGAGTACGTGTTGGACTTCGGCCACAGCTCCCTGGAGAGCGAAGAGGATGTGATCTTCCTGTGCATGCGGCGTTTTGTGATTCTTGCTGTGGTCAAGGGGGCTCTGGTGGCATAGTGGCAAGAAGCTACACTGTAATCCCGGAGGTATGCGGTTCCATTCCACCAGATGCTCTGCTGGAGAAGGAAGGGACAGTCTCCTCCTCTACCAGTCAGATTCGATTTGACACTACACACACACACACACACACACACACACACACTAATAAAATAAAATAATAATAATTAAAAAAGGGTTTAACTTCTTGTTGCCTGTTAGATGTCCAGTAGCATTAAACTGTCCACTCCCAAGGCCAGAATTGAGGCCAAAGAAGGATATTTTAAATGGATGAGGAACTGAAGTTCAAAAGCTTACCTAGAAAAAGTCTAGCTTAAGGAATGAAAGAAAAGAGATTATTCTATAAATCAACATTTTCACGTGCTCTCTGAGTTGGTTTGGTTTTTAAAAATCCATAATTCACAAAAAAGAACAAAACGTGTTCCTCTTTTTGCCTCTATCCAAGTCTGTCTTAATACCTGATACTGTTTTATCCCCATTTAGTGATACAATTATGTCAGCCTGGAGACCAAGATGTGCCTCAGATGATCCAGGCCATGGTCTTTGCAGTTACTTGTTAAGCATCAGAGAGCTGGACAATGACTGAGGATGACAGAAGAAGGACCGATGCTGCTGAGTTGTGGTCCTGGAGAACAGTGTTGAACATTCCATGGACTGCCAAGAGAATAAACAGATTTTTCTTGTAGAGGGTGAAACCGAGTTGCTCCTGGAGGCAAGGATTTTGAAGCTCTATCTCACATATTTTAGGCATGTTGCCAGGAGGGAACAGTCTTTGCAGAAGGACACCATACTTGGAAGGGTGAAGAGGAAGACCCTGGGTGAGAGGATTGACACAGAGACCGGGATATTAGTGTTAAGTGTGTTGGACCCAGTGGACTGACTCGGGTTAGGGCAGAGTTCAGAGCATTTTCAGAGCAGAGTTCAGAGTTCAGAGCAAGTGTTGCTATGAGTTGCAGGTGACTCGGCTTGACAGCACATAACAACAAGCTATTTTTATGTCAATCAAATATGATGGTTTCTAGACTTGAGATTTTGGAACTGGAACTGGGCTTAGATGATGTTTCCAGTTTCTGCTATTTCAGGTCAGAGTTAATTGTGCCTTCACATGAGTCTCATCACATTTGAATGCAGTTCTGTTACTGAGAAGTTATGGTCAATGGTTTGTTTTTTTTTTCCAAGTCAGCCACCATCATTAGAGCCTGTGCCAGTGGTTCCTGGCACATGTAGGCACTTGATAAATGTTTATTCACTAAGTGGGCAGACACAGTGTTTGGAGAGGAGAGGGCTCTGAGAAAGAATTTGATTCCATCCAGGACTTCTATTTCCCAAACTTGTGCCCTTTCTGCCACACAAATGGATAGTGTTGCATCATTTCCTCAAAGGCTGTTTGTAAAATAATCTCATGTGCTGTTTTGAGTGCATTGAAGTAATCGTAAACAGGCATAAGTCCTGCCATCTAAACCTTTCTAACATTTTACTCTCCCCTGACTCTGCTCCTAGTCCCAGAGAAAACCCACAAGCACTAGAGGCAACCTTGGAGATGCTTAGTTAAATCCCTTCACTGAAAAGCTTTTACGTTCTAAATAATAGTGCCAGTCACTGTTGAGTTGATTCGAACTCTGGTGACTCCATGTGTGTCAGGGTAGAACTACGCTCCACAGGATTTTTAGTGCCGTTTCTTGGGAAGCTGAACACCAGGCGTTTCTCCCAAGGTCTCTGGGTAGACTCAGATGAGCCTCTGAACTTTTATTTAGTACTTCAGTGTGTTAACCATTTGTGCTACTGAGAGAATGTAATGTAGACCTATAGCAGAGGGAACTTGGCAAGTACAGAAAAGCTACCTTTACTCTTACCAACTAATTGGTATGTTGTTTTGGTGTATTTGTTTCCTGCATCTGATTTTCTTTATATAATGATAACTGAAGTATATGCTCTCTGTATATAGAGCATACTTTTAATACATCTATTTAAAAATACTAAAAAAATACGCTATTCTCCTCCCATGTGATTTACAGTCTCTGAAAACCTGTTATAGGGTCAGCTATGGGTCTTTTCTGACTAGATGGCACATAACAACCACCACCACCATATGCTGTGTTATATGTATTATTGTTGTTTTGTACCTTCAGATTAGAACTGACCCATAGCTGACTCTCCAGCAGGTTTTCAAAGGCAATTCATTGCACAGAAGGAGGTTGCCCATCCTTCTCCCTCAGAGAAGCTGGTGGATTTGAACCTTGTGCCTTTGTGTTTGCAGTGCACCTTCTTGCCACAAGACCTCTCTTATGTTTTATATACATATATATATTTTTATGTTATATATATATATAGTATACAGTATATATCATGCACACACAGAGTATACATATAACACCTATATATTGTATACATGTTTGGTGGCAGTGTCCATAGCAAGTTGCACTGCTAACCTGAAGGTCATAGGTCTTTGGTGGTGTGCATTTACCAGCTAATCCACAGGAGAAAGATGGGCAGGCCCCACCCATTGTGATTTGTAGCTCCAGAACCCAACGGAGTGTGGCTGTGAGTTAGAACCAACTTGATGGCAGTGAGTTTGAGTTTGATAGTAGATGTACATATTTCTTTTTCCCCAATTCATAATTTATAACAGACATTTTTAATGGCAGTACAATACTCACTACAAGTCCATATGCTTGAGTTATTAAACTTTCTCTTCTCGCTGAATACTTAGATTATTTTAGTTTTGGACATTGATATATTCCTTTGTGCTTTGGATTATTTTTCTTGGGAGAGATTTTCCCGAAGTGGAATCACTAGGTCAAAAATTAAGAAGTTTTATATTTCTTATTGTCATTACCAAATTGCTTTTAAGAAGAGTGTGGGCATTATTAGTCTATATTAACAAAGCAACATCAACCTACATGACTTTGAGGTCAGAGCTAGATGGTGCCCAGCTAGCCCTGCTGACCACTCTGAAAGGGATCAAGGAGAGGGTCTGGAATGGAGGAGCAGATAAAATGTGGAGCCAAACTAAAAAAATCATAACGATGACGAGGCTCACAGATAATAACAGAGATGGTGGGAGCCCTGAGGTTATGGCCCTTAGTGACTCTTTGAGCCTGAAATGGAAATCACCTGGTGGCTCAACTTTCAAGATGAACAATATCACCAGGAAGAGCTCACTCCTTAGAACAATCACACACAGGATTGGAAGGACAGTGTTTGTCCATGGATAAAGTCCAGAAGGCAAGAGAAAGGAGAGGATAAAAGGATGATTGGAAACAATCCCACAATCACAGGGAGAATCAACAAGGGTGCATTGTGGGATTGTAATCAACGCCATAAAACAAAAACCGCGCTCTCGGACCCTCGCTTCCAACATGACGAAGAAAAGGAGAAACAACGCTCGTGCCAAAAAGGGCCGTGGCCACGCGCAGCCTATTCACTGCACGAACTGCGCCCGGTGCGTGCCCAAAGACAAGGCAATTAAGAAGTTCGTAATCCGAAATATAGTAGAGGCAGCTGCTGTCAGGGACATTTCCGAAGCGAGTGTTTTCAACGCCTATGTGCTTTCAAAGCTCTATGTGAAACTGCACTACTGTGTGAGTTGTGCCATTCACAGCAAGGTGGTGAGGAACCGTTCTTGCGAAGCCCGAAAGGACCGGACACCTCCACCTACGACTGCCACCAAAATCCATGTAAGGATTTGATTCCTTAAAAGGCTGAAGAAAAAACTCGTCTGAAAATAAAATGGAAATTACACTTTAAAAGACAAACAACCAAACAAAAACCTCATGAATGGCAAACCAAGCTACTTTGTAAACTTTCACTCTGATCACAATAGAATGCTAACAAACAAACAAACAACCTGTACTAGTTAACCAAGTTGTCACTAACTACTTCCTGTTCCCCCTTTGTTTTTCAGATGAGGAAATAGAGGCTGAGGAGAACAAGCTCACGAAGGTAAGGAGAGTCTTTCCGCCGGTTTTCTTTTTGTGGTTCTGCATGGTACTACTAACTTCATGGATGAAACTGAAAAATGAGTCAGCATAAGAGTCAACAAGACCTCGGGAAGGACCTTTGTATTTAAAAGTCAGTTATTATATTTTGGAGGAACAGAATTCTAAAGTAGTACAACACTCTTCTGTACTGAGATAACCTGGGGTTGCTGTGATCCTGAACCTTGTGCCATTGGGATGTCAAATGCCGTGACGGTAACTCATAGTGGACAGTGGTTGGTGACAGGTTTGGAAGCAGGAGTTTGGAAGCATCCACTTCCTAAACAACATGTCTCTGGAAACTCTATGAACTTGGAGAAATGGCGATAGTTATAGAAGGGCTTCAGGCCTTCTGTTCCTAGGGTTGTATAAGTTGTATAAGTTGTATGAGTTGTATAAGTTGTATAAGTTGTATGAGTTGTATGACTTGTATAAGACTCAAGGGCAATCAACAACAACTACTAATATATTACAGAGCTCTGATGGAGTGGTCTGTTGGGAGTTGAACTACTAACTCTAAGGTGATGTTTCTCTGGAATCCACCATTAACTCTTCAGGAGAAAGATGGGCAATCTTTGCTTGTGCATTTTATAATCTCTCGAAAACCCATTTGAGGGTCAACTAATGAGTCAATTCTAATTTGATGGAAATGAGTGTGAGTTAATAAAATATTATATAATAAAAAAATGAGGATGCATGGAATTCTAGTTTATGTTCCCCAAACCCCAGATGTTTATATTTGTGATTTTTTTTAAGCCATGTACCACCTACACTATTTACGTTATGCTTTTTCTTTTCAGTTTATTTTTAAAAATTTAGCCTCAGCTTATGCAGGCAGCATTACTTGTAAAATTATGAGACTGAAGTATGCTTGTATTTTTTTCCTAGCATGAATAAAATAAACATGTAACTATTAGATGACATTTGACAACAACAACAGCAACAACAACAATAATGAAAGAGCTCTGTTGGCCTAGTGGATAGAAAATTATGCTACCAAGCCAAAGGTGGGTGATTTTAATCTGCAGCCCTCAGGCCTGGTTTTAATTGTTTTTGGTCAAACATTCTTCTAGGTGGTATAGCACTCGTGGTTGCTATGATGCTGAACACTGTGACACTGATGTGTCAAATGTGATCATGGTTACCCATGGTGGACAGTGTTTGGTGGAACTCCCCAATTAAAACTAGCTTGGAAGCAGGAGTGGCATCCACTTTTGAAATAGATTGCCTCTGGAAACCCTAAGAACTTGGAAGAAATGATGAAAGTTATATAAGTGTTCAGGTCTTTTGTTCATAGGGTCACAGTGAATTGTCTATGACCCGACAGCACTTAACAACAACAACAACAACAATTAAAGTAAAAATGAGACTTTGTTTACTGAATTTGTAAAATGAAAGGAACTGACACAGTAACTGTAATAATGGGCTCTAACATAGCAGGATGGTGAGGAGAGTGTTCCATTCTGTTGTACATACGGATTGTTAGGAGTGACTTAAGGGCATCTAACAACAGCAAGTGTGTGTGTAAATACATATGAGAGTCCCTGGGAAGGAACACGGTTAGTATGCTTGACTGCTAACCAAAAGTTTAAAGGTTCAAGTTCACCCAGGAGCACTTGGGAGGAAAGATCTCCCAAATAACCAGCCCTTGAGGACCCTAAGAAGTGCAGTTGTACTTTGACACACATAGGGTCACCATGAGTCACAACTAATAGGATGGCAACTGTTATTCTTATTTTTTAAAGAAATACATATGCTTCCAGCTCTGTATTCTACAGGGACTTGAAGCTGTGACACCCAGTAACTATGAGCGTAGTTTGTAAATATCATTCTTCAGTAAAAAGAACCAAAGATTGTTAGAGAAATGGCTGATTTCCAGGCAGGACTAGGGGAAGTCCAAGAAGAGCTTGGACTATCTGTGATGTCAGAAAGGAAGGAACAACTAAAAAAATGGAAAAAAAAGCCACGGAAATCAGCTTAGAGGGAACTATTGATAGTCAGATCTGTGACAATATGAACAACCTGTTTATTTATGGTTTATAACCCACAAATATTCATGAGCCCACATAGATGTAATGAAATAGTTGAGTAAATGGGTTGAGTAAAATAGTTGAGTAAAATGGGGAAGAAGGAAAAACTATTTCTGATAGATTTCCAATGAATACATTTATAAGAAAAGATGGAAATTAAAAAAAGCATCATTTGTTTAATCAAACTCAAACTTCCCTGCCACTGTTGGTTCTGACTCTTCTGGGTCCTCCAGTGTGTTTCTGAGGCTATAAATATTGAAAAGAAGAGACTGCCTTTCTTTCTCCAAAGGAGTGCCTGGTGGATTTGAACCACCAGAGACATGAGGCCTTTATGTTAGCAGCACACATGCTATGGACTGCACCACCAAACCACAGTAATAACTGTAGGCAGAAATCATCAGTTGACTAGTGGGCAAAAATGTCACGAGAAACAGGCTATTTTGTTGGTCTCCCTCAACAAGATATTTATGAATACAAGAAGATAGTTACAATAGAGAAAAGAGATTTAGAGAAACTTATAAAAACAAAAAACGTTCAGAAGGCTTTACTGCTAGCATCAAGGTAGTTGGGTGAGGCAGTCTGTTTCCATAAAGGTTTACAGCCTCAGAAACCTTATTGGTCTACTTTGTCCTGCAGTGTCAATCAAGGGCCAAGATTAGTTTGAAGACAGTGGTGGATTTGGGCAATACAAACAAACAAACAAACCCAGTTGCTGTTGGGTTGATTCTGAGTCATGTGGCACTGTGTGTTACAGATGAGACTGCTCCTTGGGTTCTCTTGACTGTAGTCTTTATGGACGCAGATTGCCAGACCTTTTTTGTGGGTGAAACTGGATGGGTTTGTACCACCTAGAGATCTTTGGAAAACCTGGCAGACACCACTTTACTCAAGTTATTATTATAGATGTCGTTGAGCTGCTTCTGACTCATAGTGACTCCTAGTTCAACAAAACACAATGCTGCCAGGTCCTGCACCAGCCTCACCGTCACTGCTGTGCGTGAGCCTGTTATTGGAGCCGTTGTAGTGCTTGTGACGAATGCCAAGGACTTTCTGATATAATGCACTGGGAAGGCACGCCACTTCTGTGGCATTTCTGCCAAAAACAGGAGGACCTGAATTTAATCATAAGGAAACACCAGACAAACCCAAATGGAAGGATCTTTGACAACATTCATTAACTAGTACTTGCCCAAAGTGCTGAACCATGAAAGACAAAGAAAGATGGAGAAAGTAGCCTAAACTGGAGGAGAATAAGGAGACAGGTAGCCTTGATTTAATGTGGGATCCTGGACCAGAAAAAGGACATTAGGGAGATGATTAGCAAAAGTTGAATACTTATTTATTTGAAGATTAGTTAATAACTTTTTATCATTTTTATCATTTAAAGTGTTTTCTAACACTGGGGCCATTTGAAAGCATCATGATAAGTGGAGAAAAGATTGAGGTTGCTAACAATTTCATCTTGCTCGGATCCACAATCAACACTCTTGGCATCAGCAATCAGGAAATAAAAGCAGGAGTTGGCTGTTAGGCACCCCACCAGAGTGCAATGATGCCAGTCTGGAGACTAAGGTATGCCTGATCCAGGCCATTGTCTTCTCATTTGATGTGTGTCAGAGAGCTGGATAATCAATAAGGATGACAGAAAAATCGATGCCTTTGAGTTGTGCTGAAGAAGACTATTGAACATACTGCCAAGAGAACAAACAAGTCTGTCCTGGAGAGAGTGAAATCAAGTTGCTTCTTGGAGACAAGGATTTTGAGACTCTCACATACTTTGGGCATGTTGCCAGGAGGAAAAAGACATCATGCTTGGAAAGGTTGAGGATCAGTGTAGGAGAAGACGACCCTGGATGAGATGGCAATAGGGACAGATGTGTCAGAGATGGGGCGGGTGGCTCAGGACGGGGCAGGCTTCAGGGAAGTTATTCAGAGGGCCGCTATGAATCATAGTCAACTGGGAGGCACATAACAACAGCAACAAGTGATGCACTAAGTAGCTCAGATTTAGACCGTGCAAGATTGGCTGGAACACAACTCGAGTTCAACCGCCACCGTCTTCTGTGGTTTGTGATATCGCCATCTAGTGGCACAGTGAGCTTTCCCCAAATCATTACCGTTTTGCTATAGTGGCTTGTAGTGCATAGGGAGCTTTGGAGGCCTGGTGGTAAGAACCTGCAATTCCAAAGGCCCGCAGTTCGGGAGAAAGACCAGCAGTCTCCTCCTGTGCAATTAACTGCCTCTGAAAACCCGCCGGAAGGTCAGCTATGCGTCGGTTCAGCTATGGTACAACAGCAGTAGAGTCCGACTGCTAACTGAAAGCTTAGTAGTTTGAATCTAGCTGTTCGATGGGAGAAAGATGGGCAGTCTTCCAGAAAGGTTTACCACCTCAGACACTTGACAGAGGGTTGCTATCAGTTGGAGTCAGTAGTCGTGGGGTGTAGGAATTTCACTCGGTTCATTCTTTGTTCCCTTACCTAATCCTCACGTCTGTTATGGGACTCAGCAACCTCATGGGCAATAGAATAAAACAGCCACTTTCTCACAGTTGACTGTTCGAGCCCGTTGTTGAGCGGCCGTACCGACAGTTCACCAAGGGTTTTCTTTTCTTTTTTACTTATCCTCTGCTTTATCAAGCTTGATGGTTTAAAAAAAATTTTTTTTTCTTGATAGGTTTTTTGGGTATTGGTCTCTCCTGATAATAAGTTCAAAGTCTCACCATTCTTGAGCCTAAGGAGTATTCTATCTGTGCCTCTCTCAAGAGAGATTTGTTTGTTCTGGTAGTCCTTGATATTTTCAATATTCTTTGCCAAAACCGTAATTCAAATTCAATCCTTCTTTGATCTTTCTCACTTTTCGTCCAGCTTTCTTATGCGTGTGAAGTGATTAAAAAGACATGGCTTTGGTCAGGCACACTTTAGTTCTCAAAGTGACACCTTTGCTTTTTAACACTTTAAAGATATCTTTTGCAGCAGACTTTCTGAATGCAGTGTATAATTTGATTTCATGACTGCTGCTTTGAGGGGTCTTGATTGTGGATCTAAGTAAAATGAAATTCTTGGCAACTTAAATTTTCCATTTATAATAACATGTTGATTATTGATCCAGGTGGGAGGATTTTTGTTTTCTTTATGTTGAGGTGTCATCCATATTATAAAAGGTAGTCTCAAGGGAGCTCTGGTGGCCTAGTGGCAAGAAGCTGCACTGCAATCCCAGCTGTGCCTCGTTCGAATTCACCAGATGCTCTGCTGGAGAAGGAGGGACAATCTCCTGCTGTACCAGTCAGATCTTATTTGACGGTACAATGCACAACAAATAATAAAATACATTTTTTTTAAAAAGGTAGTCTCTTTTTTTAATTGATATTTTATTGTAAGTTTATAAAGAACTTGGATTTCTATTCATTCATTGTTGCACATTTTCCTCCCTGTCCACGCTTCCCCTCTAGTTCACTTTTTTCTTTGGGAAAAAAGTTCTTTCATTGTTAAATAGTTGTCCCCCACCCCCAATCACTTTATTATGTAGCTCTTATTCTGGACTCTTGACATACCAAGAATACCTAATCATATATTCCTTTTGTACAATTCTCTCCCTTGTCTGTTTTAATGCGATGTGCATTATTTATCCCCTCTTTCTTAGTTTTCCCCAACCCCCCTGACGGTCCTGATTCATAATAATGGAATTATACAGTATTTCTCTTTTTGTGACTGAGATATTTCACTCAGAATAATATCCTCCGTGGTCACCTATTTTGTATAATACTTCAAGAGTTCTTTTGTTTTTCAGTGTTTCATAATATTCCATTGTGTGAATATACCACAGCTTCTCTAGTCATTTGCTTGTTGATGGGCAATTTGGTTGTTTCTAACTCTGTGCTATTGTGAACAAAGCAGAAATAAACATGGTGTGCATATATTTGCTTGGATGGAAGTTATGGTTTCTTTAGGGTATATTCTCAGTAGTGGAATTGCTCGGTCAAATGGTATTTCTATTTCCAACTTTCTGAGAAAGTGCCACACAGCCTTCCGTAGTGGTTGCACCATTTTACATGCCAGTAGAGAATAAGGGTTCCAGTTTCTCCACAACCTCACCAGCATTTGTTGTTTGCTGCTCTGTTGAATTTTGCTATTCTTACTGGGGTGTGAGGATATCTCATAGTTGTTGGTTTGTTTTTTTTTTTCATAGTTGTTTTGATTTGCATCTCTCTTAGAGCTAGGGATTTTGAACATTTCTTCATGTGTTTGTTTGCCATCTGAATGCCTTCTTTGGTGAAGTGTCAGTTCATATCCTGTGCCCACCCATTTTGCAATTGGGTTGTTCACCTTTATCTTGTGGCTCTCAAGCGTTCTATAAATTCTGTGTATAACTCCTTTATCAGACATGTCATTACCAAATATTTTCCCCCCAGTCTGTGGCTTTCCTTTTTACCCTGTTGGAGACGTTTCTGGATGTGCATAGGGATTTGATTCTTAGAAGGTCCCATTCATTCATCTACTTTATCCTCTCCCAGTTGTAGGTAGAAGGTAGTCTTTATTTGCTTAGTTATTTTGAAATGAGATTTGATGAATGTTTATAGTGTGAAAGCTTTTCTTTCAAACACATATTTCGTTTTATGATATTTTTACAATACCCACAATGTGTTCTCTGTTGATGTGCTGTTCCAGTCGTTTTTGGATGATCTTCAGTAAAATCTTGCTCGCATGTGAAATCAGTGAGATTGTTCTGTAGTTTCCACATTCTGTTGGGTCACCTTTCTTTGGGATAGGAACAAATATAGATGTACATAGGGTTTTCAGAGGCCTGCTATTTCAGAAGTGGATGGCCAATCCTTCTTCCTAGTCTGTCTTAATGTGAATGTTCAGATTTAGAGAAGTATCAGACAGACCAGCAAGTTAAAGGTATATCCCTTATTGTGGCATTAACTTTAGTGTCATTGTTGTCCCTGCCTTTCTCACACACGTCTTTACCCACTTATTTCCCTGCTCCACCA